GTGATAGGGTGAGTGTGGTAGGGTGGGTGTAGTGCTTGTGGTGCTGTCCCTGCCATTTGTTTCCCCCACCTCCCCCCGAACCCTTCCCCACCCAACCCTCCCTGCCCAGCTCTCTTCCGTCCTTCCTTCCACTATACTGTCGGAGGTCTGGTGAGTGCCGTGTGGGTCGAGTGCGGTAGGGTGGGAGTTGTAGGGTGAGTGTGTAGGGTGAGTGTGGTAGGGTGAGTGTGGTAGGGTGGGTGTAGTGCTTGTGGTGCTGTCCCTGCCATTTGTTTCCCCCACCTCCCCCCGAACCCTTCCCCACCCAACCCTCCCTGCCCAGCTCTCTTCCGTCCTTCCTTCCACTATATTCTCAACGTCCTTGCTTTTCTCGTGCATCCCGCCCATCCTCCCCTCGTTCTTCATGCCTCCGTCCATCCCTGCAAACCCTCACTGCCCATACTTCTTCCTATGTGCCTCAGGAATGTTTTCGCCTCCATCCCACATCTCGCACCTTCCTGCACCCCTGCAGACGGCTCTCTTCCTGCCGTTTGAGATCGAGAGCTTTGATGTCGCAGTGGCATACACCATTTTGGAAGCACCTCGATGCTTGTTTTCTCTCGCCTCCATCCCTCCATCCCTCTCCATCCCTCCCCATCCCTCTCCACCCCTGCAGGCCGCTCTCTTCGTGTCATTTAAGATTGAGAAATTTGACGTTGCAGTGGCCTACACCATTGGGGCTGCAGTCTTTGCCTACTTCTCCAAGATGTACACTGCGTAAGTAACATACTTACCTTCAAAGCCAACATTTAAGTCTTCTCAAGATGTAAACTGCGTAGGTAACCTACCTTTTGAGTCTATTAGGGTCTTCTCCAAGCCCTTAGTGCCCCTTTTTTCCCGCACTCTCTTCACCTACCAGAGCAAGATGGCGGCATACAACCAGGCGATGATGAACGCCATGTATGCCAAGCAGCCCTCAAAGCCCCCTTTCTCCCCCCTACTCCCACCCTTCCCCCCAATTCCGACCATCCCCATTATCCTTCTCTCAGCTACCAGAGCAAGATGGCGGCATACAACCAGGCGATGATGAACGCCATGTATGCCAAGCAGCTGGACAGTGGCAGCGGCACGCTGCTCAACATCTTCAACCAAGTCATTGAGCAGGAGGTGCGTGCGTGAGAGTGTGCAGGTACAACTTGGTGGGGGTTATGAGTGTAGTGGGGCGAGAGTCAACGCACCAAGCAGCTGGACAGTGGCAGCGGCACGCTTCTCAACATCTTCAACCAAGCCATTGAGCAGGAGGTGCGTGCGTGTGTTAGGGTGGGGTTTGGGGGATGAGGGAGGTGCAGATGCGCATTGGTAGGGTGTTTTTGAGTGTAGCGGGGGGAGAGAAGTTTCGAGTCAACTTGACAAGCAGCTGGGCTGTGGCAACGGCACGCTGCTTAACATTTTCCACCAAGTCATTGAGCAGGAGGTGCGTGTGGGGAGAGGGGGTGATTCGTTCTCTTTTTGTGTTGCTTTTCTTTTTTTTTTCCAAATCCTCAACAGAAGCTCCGTAACTTGGATGCTGTTTGCTGAGCAAGTCAAGGAGGTGGCCGTCTCCTATATTCTTTTGAGGCGCTTCAGAAGTCATTTTCTGCTCGCTTCTTTCTTCTCCCCTGTTGCATGCTGTGTGCTGAGCAGGTGAAAGAGGTCGTAATCTCCTTTTACATTCTCATGACCCAGGGCAAGGCAACACTGCAGGTCAGGCAGCTCTGAATCATTTCCTACAACCATCTATCTCCTTTTTTTTCTTTCCGGCAACTTTGATGTGCTATGGTTGCACTTACAACTCGCCCCATCTGTTGAAGCTCGACCATTCTTTTTGCAAGAACTCTGTTCTCTTAGCATGTTGCCAGAGCCGGATAAGAAGCAGCATGTTTCAGGAGCTGGATGAGAGGTGTGGGGACTTGATGGCGTCTGAGTGGAACGACAATCTCGACATTGACATTGCCAATTGTCCTCAGATCAGAAGTCTGCAACCATGTCGTGTTCTCGTTGCAACCGTTCTGTTTTGTTCCCTTGCCATGCATCAGGAGCTGGATGAGAGGTGTGAGGACCTAATGACGTCTGAGTTCAACGAGCAGCTTGACTTTGACGTTGCTAGCTGTTCTTCTCAGGAGTTTGCAACCAGTTTGTTCTATTTGCAACCACCTTGTTCCCTTGCCATGTACCAGGAGCTGGATGAGAGGTGTGAGGACCTGATGGCGTCTGAGTTCAACGAGCAGCTCGACTTTGACGTTGCTGATGCCTGCAACAAGCTCACAGCACTCGGCCTCGTCACCCTGGTACGTCTTGAGGCGTCCCAAAGAGCCGTTCCAAGCACGCGACTTTGAGTTTGCTAATGACTTTTGAGGCGCCTCAAGTACACGCGACTCTGATGTTGCCGATGACTGCAACAAGCTCACAGCGCTCGGCCTCGTCACTCTGGTACATCTTGAGGCGTCTCAGAGATCCATTCTGAGCGTGCAAACCATTCAAGCTCAACAATGCACTTCTCGTTTTTTTAATTGCTGATGCCTGCAACAAGCCCACAGCTCTTGGTCTCGTCATCAAGGTATGTCTTCTCAAGCGTGCGAGCATAGTAGGCTCTGTATTCACCAAGCAATTGGGTGCACTCTTCTGTCCCCCTCTCCCTCTCCCCGTCCTCCTTACCTTCCCATACCCTCCAACCTCACCATTTGCCTCCTGTTGCAGGACTCTGCGGGCTTCTACTCGCCTGTGTCTCTCAAGCGTGCCAATGAGATGATTGGCGTCACAACGGAGGAGATCATGTCCAAGGTCGTCCCCACATAAGGCAGTCGCTTATCTCTTTTTAAAAACGACTTTTGAGGCGTCTCAGAAGTCTAAGGTCGCCCCTGCACAAGGCGGTTACTTGTTCTCCCTTATCAGAGGAGGCAGTTGGCACATATAACAACTGTGACACCGTGCACTGTTCAGTCACACCTCACGGCCCCGTCCACTGATCGTCCCACATTCCACAACCCGTCCACCGGTCGCCTCACATTCCACAACCCGTCCACCGGTCGTCACACTCAACAGCCCATCCACCAATCGTCACATCCACCGCCCATCCACCAATCGCCCCACGTTCCACAACCTGTCCACCAATCGCCCCGCGTTCCACAACCTGTCCATCAATCGCCCCACATTCCACAGCCTGTAGATCAATCTGTCGCATGTTCCACAAACCCTGTCACACATCCTATCATAATCTATGGTTCGGGTAGCCTATACTTAGTAAGGTGTGTGCTTGTGTATGTGAGTGTGTCTGTGAGAGAACTTTGGTTTGATAAGTATTGCCCCTGTAGATCTGTGAGCATGCTGCTACCTTTTTGTATTGTTTTGAAATTCGAGCTTGCTTTGTGTGACAAACTTCTGGCCCGTTGCTAAAATGACACACCAATACCAGGGCAGTCCACCAAGAACAAAAGATGAATCTATGTACGAGCTTTTAGAAAGGATGTATAGACTACGGACCAGCCAACACAGCCCCTCTCCATAGACTATGTGGTGGTCGCTATTGTGATGACCCGTCTGTAGAACCCACTCCTAGACCATCTTCACATGACTTGAACACCTTGCATGAGAAACGCTTGCTCAGCAGAATACGCCATGTAGAGTTAAAAGCTGAGCTCTCTTCCTCTGCTGAAACGGCTGAACGGCTCAGATTGAGATGATGATAGCCGTGAGATGAAGAGTTCCCACCGTGACAACTCCGTGGAGAAGCGGGAGCAAAGCGATCGTCCATGTGCATGCATAGCATGCTCACTCCCTGTGCGTCCGCCATAGCTTGCTACTTTCGTCTGGTAAGATTGAAGCTCAGACCGTCATTCGTGAGTCGTGACGAGTCCAAAACTGCGTTTGAGTCTCCTTTCAGTAAATACAATGGAACTGTCGAGAAACAGCTAGGGAACCCTGGGCTCGGATAATCGCGAATTCAGAAGGGTGTCTGGAGAGTGGCCTCGAGGCCCGACTATCGTAACGACTAATGCGGTCTTAGGACAGTCAAGCGTTTTCCGCGGTAACCCTTTCAGACAACGCTTGACAAATACTGAATCAGATTAGAGATTTTGACCTCACGAAAAATGAGAACAAGCCACTGACGCTTGGCGGGCCCAAGAGCCATCGGCGGAACCATCAAGGACAAATGCTGCCGGGAATGGCCTCGATAAAACCGTGTGTGGCTGCACCCTAGATTCTGCCGCTTTGCCGCTTGAAAAGTCTAGGTGCTCTGGAGCGGAGATACACTTCGACCAACCACCTCGGAGGCAATTTCAAGAAAAGCGTTACCTCGATGAAAGAGAACCTTTTACTACCGCCGCGGTGATTCTGAGAGAGGTAGCTAGCGGATTGGCTGGAGCCCCATAGATTCCTGGAAGGCCGCGCAGGCCGCGCGAACCGCACCGCCGTGTACATTTTCCCTGAGGTGTAGGGCACCATTCACGGCGATTGGGTGGAATTGAAAAGCCAAAAGCATCCGTTTCACGCGCCATCCGCGATTGGAGTGGACCCTCGACCCCAGCCAACGGGCAAGTGAAAGTGAAACTTGTAGAATTATAACGCAACTCAAACACGACAATTTGAATCCATGTACGATTTTGCAAAACATTCACAAATATCTGCAGTGTGACATGAGAAAGTACAAGGCAGCAGTAGATACTAAAATTGCATATACTATATACAGTATACTATATGTCTCTATAAAATCTCCATCCTCCAATCTTCCTGAACGAAACTACCAATACATCCCGTATCCATATTATGTGACAGGAAAACAAGGGAGGAAAAGAAAAAAAAGCAAGAAAGACTTCCAACATCACACCCATTGCCCATACTACGGCCCACGCTTACTCATACGGTACATGGCATCATGGCATGTCGTCGTGTACGCCTGCCATGTACCGCATCATGCATGCCATGCATGTCATATGTGCACACTATGCGCATGTGCGCCACGCGGCTCATGTATGCCATGCCTGTCATGCCAAATCGTGTGAGTCATGCATGCAATGTGTGTCATTAGCACCATGCATGCCATGCGTCCCAGCACCAACATGCTGCATGTTGTGCATGTCATGGTCATGGTCATGCAGCGAGTGTCCATGCATGTCATGCTCATGGTCATGGCCATGAAACGAGTGCCCATGCATGTCATGCTCATGGTCATGCAGCGAGTGCCTGTGCATGTCATGCTCATGGCCATGCAAAGCATCCCTGTGCATGTCATGGTCGTGGAATGGAAACTCATGTGAGGGCGAGGATGAGTGGTCATGGTATAGGTCCGACAGGCTGAAGCGATGCTCGAAAGGCGACATGGGCATGTGTGCGGGCATGTGCGCGGGCATGTTTGCAGGCATATGTGAGGGCACATGCATGGGCATGTGCGCGGGCATGTGCATGTCATGCAACATGGCATGGTGTGTGTCATGTGGCATGTCATGCGGGTGCGGCAAGCCATGCGGGTGTGACATTTCATGCTGCTGCTGCAAGCCATGCTGGCCCTGGAAAGGCATGTTGTTGAACCGTGGGAAGCCGAAAGCCAACTCCCGAGGAGAAATGCCACTCCCAGACCCTGCAGCATGGGAGTGCATGCCGGCAGCATGCGAGTGCATGCTCCAGCGGGTACCATCAACGCTGTCACTCGAAAAAGCTGCCGTTGAGACTGCAATACCACCACCCATGGCAGCAGCAGAAGCAGCAGCAGAAGCAGCGGCAGTCGGAACAGCCGCGACAGCAGCAGTGGCCACAGCAGCAGCAGCAGTAGCAGCAGGAGGGCCACGGGCACCGTCAACAGCAGCAGCAGCAGCAGCAGCATCAGGAGGACTTGGGTGGGTGGAAACAGCTGCATGAGCGGGCGAGGCAGGGGCGAGCGGAGGAGGAGGGCGCGGGGTAAGAAGTGGGGGCGGGTGCATTGGCTGCTGATTCTGGTATTGTTGCTCATGCTGCTCATGATGCTGCTGCCGCTGCTGCTGCTGCTGCGGCTGCTGCTGCTGATGGTACTGGCGAGCGTGGGGAAGCGCGAGGAGAGGTGTATCTGACTTGGAAACCCGGGCAGATGCGGCAGGTGATCTGATCGCATGAGGACGTGATACTGGTGCGTCTGGTGCCGGAGGTGCTGCTGAAACAGGAGCCGCCGCAGGAGCAGGAGCAGGAGCACGAGAAGAAGCGGCAGCAGCAGTAGGAGCAAGAGCAGCAGGAGCAGGAGCAGGAGCAGAAGCACCAGCAGCAGCAGTTGCAGGAGCAGGAGCAGCAGCAGGAGGAGCAGCAGTAGCAGTGGCAGCAACAGCAGAGACTCCTGTGCTCCCAACAGCAGCACGAGCACGGGCCCTCTCCCTTGCATGTGCCCGTGATTCCACCCTCCTCCCACCCGCTACACCACTCACACCAGCAGCACCACTCACACCACCAATGGCACTCGCACCAGCAACGCCACTCCCACCAGCAACGCCACTCCCAACAGCAACGCCACTCCCAACAGCAACGCCACTCCCAACGAACCCACCACCAGCACTCAAATCTCCTATGTTGTACCCACCACCCCCTAATGGGTAACTTCCAGGCATGTAATTCTCATGCATGTAACCACCAGATGTGTAACCTGTTACACTGTAACCCTCTGCCCCATACCCTCCCCTGCTTACCCCTGCAATTCCCCCAGGAGAGAACCGCTCAGAACGAGACAAGCCCAAGGCTCCTGGGACATCAGGAAAACCACCAGGAGCAACAGACGGGGCACCTGAGGGTTCGCCTGAAGGGGCACCTGGGGCATTTAAGCTCCCTCTGGCGCTCAGGAGAGAAAACTCCTCGTCCCAGGGAAAACGGGGAGGGAGGGTGGGAGAGGAGAGAGATGCAGGGGGTATGGAAGGAGGTGGGTGTGACAGAATCGGGGTTGGAGAGAACTTGGGAGGTGTTCCATGAGAGGAAAGAGGGATGGAAGGAGGTGGGAGAGACAGAAGAGGAGTTGGAGAAAGAACTGAAGCCTTGGGGAAAGAAGTGGCAGGAGGAGGAAATGGAGGAGCAGTGGCAGCAGGAACAGGAGGAGGGAAGGGAGCAACTGCGGCAGAAGCAGCAGCAGCAACAGCAGCAGCAGCCGCAGCAGCAGCAGCAGCCGCCGCAGGAGGAGGAGGAGGAGGTGGAGGTCGAGGAGAAGCAGCCGCCGCAGCAACAGGAACAGCATCAGCAGAAGAAGCAGCAGGAACGACAGCAGGAGGAGCAGGAGTGGCAGAACCAGCGGGAGGAGGAGGAGAAAGAGGAGCAGGGGAGCTGAGAGGGTGGGGGAAAACCTGCGCCTGGCGTTGAGAGTGTGCTTCCCCAGCCTTCTCTTGAGGAGCAGGCTCCCCCCACCCTCTCCAGCCTTCTCTTTTGGTATCTCATGGGATTCTTCAGTCGGTTCAAAGCAAGGAGCAGGGGGGCCGAGAGGGTGGGGGGAAGCCTGCACCTGCACCTGCCGTTGAACCAGCTGTTCTCCAGCCTTCTCTCGAGGTGCGTTGTAGCCCGCGGCATGTGCACTAAGCCCTTCCGCGGCGGCAGCCCTGGATGAAGCCTTTACTTGAGCCTCATTCCGTGCCTTGAATAGCTGCCTGCGTCCAGCCTCAGGGGCAGATATAGCAGACATGCCCCTAGCTGCCTCTCCCTCCTTTACCAGTCCCCTTTCCCTCCCTCCCTCCTCCCCACCCAAACCAATTCCTCTTCTACCTTCTCCCCCTCTCCCCTCCACTCCTCCCACCCCGCCCACTCTTCCTGCCTCTTCTGCCTCTCTTGCCCCTTCTCGCGCATCAAACACTCCTGGTGATGCTGCTGCTACTCCCCCAAAAGCCATACCAGTAAGTCCTGGGAGACTGCTGGGAAGGTTACCGGGGTAACCGCTGGGGTAAATCACTCCAGGAAAATAACTCGCTGGAAGATGCCCCGAGGGCAAATACCCGTACAAATACCTCCCTGCTTCAAATGCGCCTCCTATCCCAGCTGCTCCTCCTTCCGCCCCTATTTGCCCCCCTGCTTCTCCTAATCCTCCTGAGAAAGGAAGTGGCATGCCATACGCGCAATAGCCAGCAGCAACAGGCGCACTGGGATACAAAGTAGCGGCAGTAGGGTAACCAGCACCCGCGGCAGCAGCAGCAGCGGCGGCGGCGGCGGCGGCGGCAGCAGCGGCAGCAGTGGCTGAAGAAGGGTCAGTAGGAGGGAAGGTGGGGTAGGGGTGAATACTGCTGTAACCACCTCTGTAGGTGCTGATGCTGCTACTGCCGCTGCCAACGCCAATGCCGCGGGGTGTGGCATGGGAAAGTGGCGGGAGTGGCAACTTTGGAATTGCTGCTTTATCCTCGCTATAAAGCGCCTCAGGAGCAGCAGAAGCAGGCAGGGCACCAGCAGAAGCAGCAGCAGAACTTATCCGAGTACCTCCGAAGCCAATGACACCAGCACATGCACGAATGCCCACACTACCCCTAACACCACCACCACCACCACCACCACCACCACCGCCTCCGCCAAACCCGGCAGTCTCTTCTTCCGCACCTAACCCCGCACCTCCTTCCGGACCTCCTGCCGAGCCTCGACCTCCCGAACGTGCGGGCTGCTTCGGCAACCGAGCTATGGCATGCTGGGCATGATACAGCAGCCACTCGAGAGCAGCAGAGGGGGTATCCGCGCCGAGCCTATCTTGCACATCATAAAATGATGTTGCTGCCGGCGCTGATAAGCGCACTCGCCTATCGCGCATGCCCCGGGCCGTTGGCACCTTGGAGTGGCGGTCCCGAGCCAGCGCTGCCGCCGAAACTAGCGCCGAGGCTCGGCCTGCTGACGAGGAGGTTCGGATGGCAGACGTCGTAGCACCTTTCCCTCCTCCTGCCCCATCTTCCCCTCCTGGCCCTTCCCCTCCGCCTAGAGAAGCAACAACAGCCCCCCTTTCTTCTTCTCCTCTTCCTGCCTCTCCAATCTCTCCCCAAGAAACTGCACTGCCATACTTTTGCCTCTTCCCCGCCCCCCCGTCTTCACTTCCCCATCCCCCTCCCCTCTCACCCCCTTCCCTCCCTCCCCTTCCGCTTCCGCCTCCGCCTTTGCCGCCTCCCCTTTTCCCCCCTCTCGCCCTTGCGCGCTCCCCATGGTGTAGCTCCCCTTCCCCCTGCGCGCCCCCATCCTCGTCCCCCCACTCTCCACACTCGCCCTCCTCCCCCTCACGCTCAGCCGACTTCCCTCTTCCAACCCCGTGCCGTGCTGCCAGTCTGTGGGCCTTGTGTAACTCACGCGGCAAACTCCAGCGCTCTACCTTCTGCTCCTGTCTCTGCTGCCACTCCCCCCAATCCTCTTCCCCCCCTTCAGCCGACTTCCCCCTTCCAACCCTGTGCCGTGCTGCCAGTCCCTGGGCCTTGTGTAACTCACGCGGCAGTGCCCACTGTTCTTCTTTCTGCTCTTGCCTCTGCAATCCCTTTTGCTCCTCTTCGTGCTCTTCGTAATGCTCGTCTTGATGCTGCTGTTGCTGCCGCTGCAGCAGCTGCCGTTGCTGCAGTGCTGTAGTTACCGGCGCAATAGTGGCAGTGGTGGCGCCTTCCCTTCCAACAGCAGTCGACGGAAATCCCGATGCCTCCACCTCAGCTTTCCATGACGTGGTGGCGGCGGTTGGTGACGTGCCCATGGTTGCAGGTGACGTGGACGATGACGACGCCGCGCTGGACGGTTCTGGAGGGACTGACATCGTGACACGTGGCGCTGACAGCTCAACGTCTATGAAAAAAATGGAACCGTGCAACAGCCTGCCTCTTAAAGCCACGAACACTGTCTCCGGTTACTACTAAAACTGACAGATATTCTACTAAACGGTACTTATTCCTTGTTCTTCCCTGGAGTCCAGGGCGGTCCTAGCCTTCGATAAGTGCGGTACTTAAGAAAGCGACCCGGAGAGGACAGTACGGCTGCGCGCTGACACGTAACGGGACGAGATGTAACGGGACGGGACGTAAACGGACTGCTAGTGATGTAGAGAGAGGCCAAGGACGGGTTGACCAAGAGACGTGCCCGCGCAACCCACGGCGGGATCAGCGCGGAGCCTGGAGTTGGATCGACAACGGCGGACCCGCCAGCGCCGGCGAAGCTGGCGGAGAGTTCTCGACGACGCACCACCTCCTTAACTTGCGCAACCTCGTGCGACGGATCGAGCGAAGACTGTGCGGCGAGCGACGGCTTTCGACGCGCCAGCGAGCCAGCTGACTCAGCAACGGTAAAATCGCCTCGCGACGAAGCTTCCGACAGACTCTCGATGCTGATCACCTCGAAGGATGACGTCGGCGGGAGTCGCGCGATACGCTGGTCTGGAGCTGCAGACGCGGCTCGGTAAGATGTTTCAAACGCCGCTGCAGAAGACGTCGCCGTCTCGGAAAAGTTCGCGAAGTTCGCGAAGATGATGGTTGATTCTCCTGAGACGCGAGCCGCTGAAACCACCTTCCAGGAAGCACCGCCGCTTGCTTTGATCGCTCGGAACGAAGTTGCGCTTCGAAATGGGGTGAATCGACGCTGCCGACGCTGATGACGTGGCCGACGCTGCTGCTGACGTCCGATCGATCGACGCTGCCGGCGCCCCTCTGGAGATCCAGGGGAAGCGAGGCGGCCGCGGTTGGTCATTTCCCCGGCCCTGCCTGGGGACCTTAGCAGATTAAAGACGTGATGATACTGCTTGATTAGTGCTTGAGCATAGTTGAAACTACAGGCCTTGAACTGCGTCGAAGCTTCGCGTTGCTCCCAGGAGGGTTTGTGAAAAGACTCGGACGCACCGAGTCCCTCCTGGGACGCAAAGACTGAAAGGACTTCGATTAAGAACCGCCTCCTAATTATGACAGAACTCCATTATTTTCCATGTCAAAATCGCTCGACTGGATATGCTGATCGAGAGTGTCAGAAAGCTGGAAACGGCCCGTTTGTAACGGCCCGGGGAAACACGGCGGGCGAGCGAAGCTGAGTGGTTTCCGACAAAGGCTTGCTCTTGAAACACGGACGGTAAGGGTTTGATACGTCAGGCTGTGGGATGACTGAGTCACCAAAAGACCCAGCGCCCAGAGATATTGGAAGCAGCAAGGCTTGACGAAGCCTGGCCTGCTGTGGAGCTGAGTTGCTATTGCTAGCTGCTGACGTGCGCTTGTGGAGGAGGAAGGAAGCGAGGGTTCAGAATGAAAGCGACAGAGGAGCGTGAGAAGCAGGGAACGTCTGATGGGGGAAAATGATGAGACTTCGAGGTAAGAAGACAGCTCAGCGCGGAAGGGTACCTGAATTGACAATGGCGGGCTGAAATGCAAACTCGAGGGTACGAGATTGGAGGGCTTGGAGCTTTGAGATTGGAATTGGAGCATTGAGAAATGGGCAGGGCCGAAATATGGGTTGTTGGAAGAGACGGGCATGAACGAATGAACGTCGTGATGAGTTTGGAATGCATCGCGGCTCGAGCGTGCATGGTGGTGGTGGACGTGAATTCGGGAGAAAACCAGCGGAGTTGGCGGAGATAGATTGACCCGCTCGCCTGCCCGGGAGCTTACCAGAGGGAAGCTGGGCAGGCGAAGGTTGATGAAGCACAGTATGAAGCCGATTTTGTATTTTACAGTGGTGATGATAACGAAACGAATAGTGTATTTTGCTGTGGTGATGTAGACTTGCAGAAATGTTGGGCAGCCGAAGGGACGAGTACAACACATGTTGTGGTCTTTGGGGTTTGAAGCATTAGGGGAGAGAAGCGAGTCGCAGCCAGCTGTAGTTGGGAGTCCAAAAGACATGACGGTCGTCAATGATCGTCGCCAACGTTTGTTCGTCGAAGCCTCTTTGTTCCCTACTTTGGCGTTCGAGTTCAAGGGGTAACCACATGTACCTCAATATCCCCGTCGCAACCGCTTGTTGTGGTCACTGGAGACCCTCAACCGACAGGTTTAGGCCTGGCAATGACATTTTCGAAGGGCGTGACCACGTCAAGCCGCATTTTTGTTGCCCCACACACGTGTATTTCACCAGGCGCGCAGCGACCTGGTGGTGACGCGGCAGAAGACGTGGACAGAGTTCCAAGGCCTAGGGAAGCGCACGTGGTGATATCTACTTCACCATGGAACGAAGTCCAGCAACGCAAACGCATGATTTTCGCTTTGGCACATCACAGGACTAAAGCGAAGCATGTCACCTCTTCGCTTAGGGTGTGAAACTCTTGAAGCTCAATCAGACAAGTGATTACTAGTGCTGTTATGAATGAACTTGTCAGAGTGCGCAGATATCGAATAACGAGAATGAATGAACTAAAGAATGATTGAACAATGAAGTAGCGAGGCCTAAATAGGGGAAAACCTAGCTAGGCGGGGGGTTCGGGATGGGATGGCTCGGTGATGGCTACGATTGGAGCGGAGGCCGACTCGGGGGTGGTTCGGTGCGACGAAATAGGCATCGCAGGTTCGTCGCGACACCCTCGGGATGTCCTCGCTAACAGCTGGCTACAGTAAGGAATTCTAATTCCTTACACTCTCCCACCTTCCAAATAAGGCAGCACTTGTTACGAATAGTAATATTCAATATTACTGTGCACTCCTCACCGCAGCAAAAGAAGCACGCAGTAACGAGAATGAACGCGAAGCGTCAGACAGTTGGAATTGACTCGAAGCGACGGACAGTTGGGACGCATCTGGACCGTCGGAGCAGACGGCATCGGGCAGCAGCAGGCAGGATGGTTTTTGCGGGAACAGTTACGAAACTGTACGCGCCGCACGGTTGGGAGTGAATTTGAATAAGGGAATGTACCCCTTAGAGTACATGGCTAGTTAGGTCGTTTCGTATTCCCCTGTACTCTTATTTATATCATCTTGTTTGCATGTTTTATTATCTCAAGCATTTACATTCACTCTGCTATTGAGGTCAAGGGCCCACCAACTATCTCACTGCGTGCGAACCTTCCTGGGTAGATCCTGGGCTACGATCAATTTCTGATCGCAGCATGGTATGAGAGCGGCTCAGGAATCCTTCGCACTGCCACTCCCGAAAATTGCAACATTTGGAAAGTGGCGTCCGGCACACGCTCACGAGTGAAGATGGCCGGAGGATCTGGTGGTCAAACTAATCTGACGGCTGAAGCGCAACCCAATCCGGCTGCGACAAGCGAGAACACGACGACAATCAACTCCGAAGTTCTCGCACAACTTCTTCAGCGACTCACCAGCTTGGAGCAAGGGCTCCAAACATTGCGGAATGGCGATGCGGGAACATCCTCGCAACCATCTCAACCGGCCCCAACTGGCCAGAACACCACTCTGCAAACTTTCTCCCTCGACACCAATGGCTCAACCCCCAAGACTCCCCGTCCCAGTGAAGAGGCAATTCTCTCTGCTCAATCAAGGTTTCTCAGCATATCAAAAATAAAGACAAGTACCTGTTTTGACGGCAGAGACTTTTACACCTGGAGCTTCGAGCTGGAGCTCCTGCTTCAGAACGCCCAGATCTTCCACTACTTCGACGGGAGCTACGCGGAGCCTGCTGAGGACACCGACGACGCCAAGGCGCGATATTACAACGAGTCACTAATGGCGTACGGGGTGCTCCTGCGGAATATGTCGGCGGCGGAGCAGCTCAACATTCGTTCATACAAAACCACAGCTGCTCCAGCCCTTAACGCCTGGAGGCACCTGACGGGAGTCTACCAGCCCAAGGACTCCGTCTCTTCGAGCCGACTACTCCAGGAACTCCTGGAAACCAAGATGACCGCAGGGGAGAAAGTCAACAACTACCTCAACCGCTGTCGGAGCCTTCGCGATCAAATCGTGAAGTTGGGAAGCACGATTTCAGAGGAAATCTTCGTCAACATTGTGCTTCAAGGGCTCGGCCCAGAGTGGCGGCCCTGCAAGGCGCTTCTCCGACAGCAGGGGGTCATCTCGGAGGCCGCCCTTTGCGCCGCCCTTCTCGTCGAACAGAGGGATATGGATCAGCAGCGACCAGCGCCGCGACGAGAACGCGAACGGCTCGCCTTCTACGCCGACAACACTGAAGAGCGAAAGCCACGGCGCCTTTACTTTAAAATCTGCAGAAATTTTGGGCACTTGGCGGATCGATGCAAGTACCGATCCCGCCCTCGCCAGACCAATCCGAGCACCTGGTCCGGCCGTCAAGACGCACGAGGCGACGTGCGT